AGAATGCAAAGGCCACCTTACTGCTATGTCTCCAAGGCTTCTTTTCAAGCTTAAAAAAAAAAAGCCTTCCTTCAAAATGATGAGATTAAGGGAAAGTCATTTGCAAACAAAAACTGATCGACAATGATAAAGACAATCTATCACAGATGTTAGACAAGGTCAAGCAGTGATTCCTCTGGAAGGCAATCTGGCAGGTGATCCAGTTGGAGGGTGCCTGTAGAGTAATGTGTAATTTATACAGACAAAGTTTGAAGGATGAGTGGAATTAGGGAGTGAAGAAAGAAAAGAGTTGAAATTGGAGTCTTCCAAAATTGTCATTTGTCACCATTACCACTATGTCAGTACAAGTGTCTCTGTGAGGAACTAAGCTCAAGAACAACCATCTGCTGGAAGTAAGTCTGTGCAGAGAGTTATCCTGTTATCTTAAATGCCGCTGGACATTACTAACAAAGCAAACAGACAAAAATGTATTTCCTCAGCTCTCAAAGGATAGGATCAAACTGGATGATTTCTAAGGTCTCTTACAATGCCTTGATTCTAATCTAGAGAAACTAGTCCTTAAAATGTAGCTTAATATGAAAATATCAGCTTCGCAGAAAAAGGCTTTCTGACTCACCTGTAATAACTTGCTTTATTAACTGTATCTTCAGAAGAGTCAGATCCTAAAAATAGTCCCCAAATACCCCCAAAAAACAAATCAGTAAGAAGTTTTCTTATTGAAAGGGTTAAACTCAAAAAACAAACATGCTGCCAAATAGATACTTATTTCATTCAAGAAATAATTACTATGTACCCCCACTATAGGGCAGGCATAGCAACAGATAGGGCAGGCAATACAGAGAAGAGGTTGAAAGCACTGCTCTGAAGTCAGGCTTCCTAGGTTTGAATCTTGGCTCTGCTACTTACTAGCACCTTGGCAAAATTTCTTAACCTCTTTGTGTTATCAATTTCCTCATCTGTCAAGTGATATAATAAAACAGTAGCAACATGAGAGGTCTGTCATGCACCTTAAGCAAATTATACAAGCAAAATACATCAGTGCCTGGAATACAGTAAGTGTTCCTAAAGGTTAGCTACTGTAATTATTTTCATGACACAACACCTGTTGTTGTCTAGGAACTTATGATCTAAGGAAGGGAGAAAGACAAATAAGTAATTTCAATAAAATTTGGCAATGCTACGGTAAACATAAGGTAGTGAGCTTGGGAGCTCCAAGGAATCCATCTTTTCCAATTTTAAGTATATTCTACAGGATAAGGCAATAAAGGAGACCTGTTTGAATACTGAGTTCAGGTCTTCTGAGAGGCTTCCTACTCTAGTATAATTTATTTCTGATCCCTCCAGATGCCATAACTCCCTATATTTCTAAAGTGTATTTACACATACTGATAACCAGACATTCTTTCTTTTGCTCTCTTTACAAAGTAAGGTTTTTCAAGGTGGGAACTGCATCTTTCACAAAATTTATGGGGCTAGTAAAATTATTTTATTTTTCACTCCTCAAATCTCCCTGCCACGCATATAAATTATGACCAAAGTTTCAGTGAGAGCAGAAGACAGAAAATCAGCAACTATTATTCTAAACTTACAAAATCTGAGATCCTTACCCAATTCAATGTAGACGGACTTATTTTGAACTTGTGTCTGTTGCTTTGTCCTCAGAGATGTCACAATTCCAAAGTTAGATAGCTGGACACTAAGATTGGTTTCCTGCTAAGCAGTACAGTAAAGAATGGTCAACTAATTTTGTCCAGTTCTGTACTTTTTCCCTGAAGAGAAAAACTTGAGGCCATGGACAAAACAAATCAGCCATAATCAACTGACTAAACTGTATGTTACCTGGAAAAGATGCCTGGCAAATTACACATCGAAATGTCTGGGTTACCTGTAATTTGAATATTTTTCCCTCTCTCTGTTGTTCCAAATGTATTATTTGAGTAAGTTTTTGAAGTATAAGAAAAACATATTTTGAAGCTAATACTTTTTATAATAGAGTGTAGGAATGGAATGAGATTCATTTAGCATTTGACAGCAAGGTTGACAATTAAGATAAAACAAATTTTTAAAAAGGGGAAATGAAGACAATAAAAGTGTGGTATTCCTAAGAACATTTAGTAAGAGATTTTAAAGCCCAACAGTACTTTGATAAACTTTCCTTCTTCCTTTGTAGTCCGTCCATAGCCACTGAAAAAAGGAATGCTGGTACCATGATAGCTATTATTTTTAAGATCTCCATTATACAAGTAATAACAGAGCAAATCACTGCATTTTTTTTTTTTTTTTGACAATTATCTTTTAGGTTGAAGTAATTTTCAAATGTTAAAGACTTATTTTTTTCCCCCAGGTAACTTTTCAAAATAAATAAATTAGAAGATATTTCCTCATGCCTGAAGAATTGACCTAAGGTGGTTATTTTAAAAACCAGCAACCTGAAAACCATCAGTAACCTTTCGGCTGTTTTAGACATGCAACAGAGCAGATAAAGCACCAAAGCAGGAAAAGGGCCCCTAAGGTCTCTCTTGAGCCCACCAGGTACTCTAACCTTCCCTGAATTCTTCTAATTCTTGTTGATTACAATACTTTATCACCCACTTATTTTACCATCTTCCCTTCTTTACTGACTTTTTATGTAAGTCACTGATATCTAACACATTCGCTAACTCACAATGCTCAACAAAGAGATGTTGCCAGAATAAATTAAAGTGGCTTTACCAAGGTAGGATTTTCAGGATCACTTTGCCGAAGTCTTTTGGAACGGTTTCGGTAGCCCATACTTTGGATGATAGAAACTTCCTCCTTTACATGTTCAGGAGAGTTATTTTCCTTTTTGGAAAAACTGTAACTGTTTGCAACTATCGAATTATAAGAGAAAACATTACTTTTGTATCTAGAAAAAGAATGATTAATTATAATAAAGACAACCAATAGTGTATACTATTTGCTTTTTGTTAAGGCAACACATTAAGGTTACCTATAATTTTTTTTTCATATCAACTTTGAAAATTCTACTTCTAGGAAATAAACAAACAGGTTATTTCTACTCCTTTATTTCCCATTGCAATACTAACAAATTTGCCTCCTAAGACCATACATATATCATTGAATCCAACACCAATGATGTAAGATGTACCATTATTTTCTGTACCACTAAGAAAGAAATCACACTAAATTAAAGAATGATATACTATCAATGGTAAAATCCTCCTAATTTTGAAGATGTTAAAATGTGAAAACATGCATCTTAGAATTGATCAAATAAGATGTACGACCAGTGGGAGTGATTTAAAAAAATAGATTACAGATATAGAGCTAAAATTAACCTAGACTAAAAGATCTTATAATTTATTCATAGAAAATAATGATTCAAACTTCTTGAGCTTTAATGGACAGCCACTTGAGCATCAGATTCTTAGACTACGCACAACTTACACTGTAATCCTGTGTCAAGTTCAAAAGCCTGAATGATTTTCAATAGCTCTTCAACAAGTTGACTAAATCTTGTACTTTCTTGTAGGCTTCTGAAATTAAATTGTTGGAGAGATACACTTAAGAGCAAGATATTACTACCTTTTTAAAGCTACTGCATAAAAAACATACTATTCTCTACATCCGAACTCAGCCCAACTCCCCATTTCTAGCTCTGCTTCTCAAGGATTTCTGTCATATCATGGTTACATTATTTTGAAAATGCAGATAGGCATCAATGTCCAAAGAAAGTCTGGCTTAGGAAAATAGAATTCATTCATCACTGTAAATATCTGAGTATCTATTATGTACCAGACACTGGAAAGGCAGTGCTGAGACAAAGTCACAGTCCTAACAGAACTTACGTTCCGGTAGGAGAAACAGACAATAAATAAATACATCATGTTTCTGTGTGTGTATAATTAAGTAAAACTAAATTCAATGAAGAAAAATCAAAACAAGATCAACAGAATGTGGACAGGTGGTTGGTAGAGTCCTTCTGTAGATAAGACTGAAAGTTCTTACACTATTCAGAAACATCACAAAAAGGCAATAAATTGCTAATATCTTTATAAGGCAGAAGTTTCACAAACTTTCAGGAAATGGCTTTAGAAATAATTTCCTCTGTCTGCTAAACACACTTTTATACATTTTTCTACTGATGGATAGTTTGACAGGAACACAAGCTATGGTATTAAAGAATTCCTACTTTCTCCTGCTACTGTTGCTTCCCGTCACTACCCAAATTTTGTACCTTTTGGTTATATTATTCTTACACAAGGGACACTGTGAGGGCCCTTTCTTCTGGTTCAAAAGTTTCAGCATACAAAATCTATAAATTATAAAGAAACAAAACAACGATTCAAGTTACTTTCTTTGTAGAGAGAATTTTCAAAAGGCAAATAGCCATTAAAAGATAATTTCATAACTTCCCTTAAGAAGCCATTTTAAAGGCAATGGCAGGTATATGACAACAAACGATATTCTCTAATTGTTTCTAGATGCTGCATAAGCAGAAAACCACACTATGTAAGTAATGATCTATGACTACTGAACTTATATGCATATGGCTTACTGCTCTCATCAAATAAAACTAACTAAAAAGTTAAAATGGCATATTTAATGATATATTCATAATTGATTCATGCTGCATAATCTGATATAAATGGTAAGCAGTTCATATAAAATGATTATAATTAGTTTAAAAACTCAGTTTCTTACTACAAAACTAAAGTAATCAAGACCATGTGGTACTGGCATAACAATAAACATACTGATCAATCGAATAGAATTGAGAGTCCAAAAATAAACCCATAAACCTGGTCAACTGTAAATTGGTCAATGATTAATTGATTTACCACATGGATGCCAAGACAATTAAATGAGAAAAGAAGAGTGTTTTTAATAAGTGGTGCTGGGACAACTGAATATCCATATGCAAAAGAATGAAGTTAGACTCTTATCTCACACAAAAATTAACTCAATTTATAAAAACTAACTCAAAAAGGATCCTAACTCTAAATGTAAGAGCTAAAACTGTGTGATCTTGGGTTAGGCAATTGTTTCTTACCTATGACACCAGACCACAAGCAACGAAGAAAAATATAGATAAATGGAATTACATCAAAATTTAAAACTTTTGTGCTGCAAATGATACCATGAAGAAAGTGAAACACTGCACAGAATGGGAGAAAATATTTGCAGATCATATACCTGATAAGGAAACTGTATCCACAATACATGAACTCTTACAATTTAATAACAAAAAGACACCCAGTTAATAAAATGACCAAAAGATTTCAATAGACGTGTCTCCAAAGCAGAAAAAGCACATGAGAAAACGTTCCGCATCATTGTGTTGTTGTTGTTGTTGTTGTTTGCCGTCGAGTCGGCCCCGACTCATAGTGACCCCTCCTTGGGTTTCCGAGGCAGTATCACTACGGAAGTA